CACGGGCCTACTTTCTCTATTATTGTAGCCTGGCTCAGCTCTTTTGGTTTTTCGATATTCAACGCAGGCACAGCATTTCAGGCTGTTTTGAGCGTTTGCACCCACATTTGGCACTTGTGGCGTGTAAAGTCTGGACAAGTCAAAATAGCAGACTGTTTCGGAAGTTTTAATCTTCAAGACAAAGCCTTTGTGGCTGTATTGTGTGCCTCAACGTCACACATGTGGTTCTGAAAGACTTAGACGCAAAGCTTTGCGGGATGTTGAGTGTCTGGCCTCAAGTCAGTTTAGCTTCCCTTCAAAGACAATGCGACAAGAGTAAGACGGTGGCAGACATGTTTCTGAGTCCGTGGCTGTTTTGTTCGGTTGCGCTCCCGGCGCCACGCCTTCAGAAAGGTGCGCCATTGAGGCCGGTGGCACGGCTTTGGGTGCGCTCGCCAGCGAAAAAGGGGGCGCGGCATCTGGAGCGGCGGGTTTACCGAGGATGTTGTCGGTTTCCGCAACAATGCTATTCGGATGGAGGTTGTAGATGCTCACATTGCAGTTGGCGTTGGGTGTTCTGTGCATAGTGACAGGTTCTCGTCATTGGTTTTGTTCAATCTTTTGAGTTTGTCTCGATGTGGGCATAAGTGGATGCATAGCTTTGGAGCCGCAGGAGTTCGGAGTTTGTCCTTTCACCTGTGCATTTGTTTAATTCTAACCGTGAGTCGTATTGACACAAATCGAATAAAAGCTTCAGCCATTGGGTCGAAGCTGCAAATGGTGACAGTTTGGATTGTTGATAGCGGAGGGTAAGCTTTGCTTACCTTCCAGCTTTTTGGCTCGATCCCCAGTGTGATTCTGTTTTATGAACAAGCATCTAGAATCGTTTGCGGGTTTTACGATGAAGATTTCGTTGGTGGCTGAGGTGCTGGCGGACATTGAGTCGGCGCATGCACACCACGGGCCCTTCTGCAGACTCGCTTAACCAACAGTCTGCTCTCGCCGAGCCTCCAGTTCAAGACCAACCCGTTCCCAACCGCAAGCCGAGAGTGGATCCTGACAACCCGTGCAACTTGGGATTTAGCCAGAAACATTTCAAATGCAATGATGGAATTCTCGTGCTGGCTCCGCAGTTGTATTTTGTGCTTTTCTCGAGCACAAGTCGAGGGCTGCGTGAACCCAGCATTTTATGTGGGGGCGATGTTGCAATGGGGTCAGAATGTTTTCACTTGATGGCAGCTTCCGAGGCAACCCTGGTAGTGTGGGTCATCATTATGGCGGCTGCAAGCCGTGCAACAAGTACAACCCCGAAAGGCTTGGCTCGTGTTTTTCCAGTAGCTGCTTTGAGGATTTTCATGCCATCGCAGTTCATTCAGTTCTTGCTGCGAAGAAGTACAGGCCAGATGATTCCTGCAAGCATGCGGAAACATGCGCTTTCTGTCACAACAAGGACTTCGTGCACATTGCCTACGAACATGCATGTTGCGCCACTGCATGCCTGTGTGGCAAACTCGTCTCAGGAGCATGAAAGACCCAAGCACCGGGGTCAGAGAGGACGTCATGCTTTGCAGCGGAGGCTGCTTCACATGTCTTTTTGCAGCCGCCCGGGTTTGCTCATGACACTTAGTCGCGCTTTGACCGCAGTTTTTCGGATCCGCTGAATGCTTCCCGTACACTTGTAGACTTGCCTCGCGGAGCCCTTGATGTTTACAGCACAAGTCATAGCTTCAGGGATCTGGTTGCCATGGAGTCGCAACGACAGGTGCGTCCTCGAGTCGGCGACTTGCATGCTGCCACAAGTTCGCAGTCTTATACTTCCCCTTTAGCAACTGTGAGTGCATCACGAGATTGTGACTGTGGCATACCACTGCCTGGCTTCGTTCATAGTATACCTCGTCAGTTGTTGGCAAGGTTGTGCCAAATGTTGTGCCTGAGCAGGTAAGCATCATGGAGGAGGGCGTTGCCAGCGGGTTGGTGGTGAGAGATCTGGATGGCCGTGTGTACACTGGCTTCCTTCAGTGGAAGAACGTGATGGAATCCAAGTGTAGGTTCGAGTCCATGAGTAGCAATCGAGCCATAAATGACGACGTCGTCGACGAGCGGGTACGTCACAACCTCAAGGAGCTGACAAGGTCCGGACGCTTTTGTGAGTTTGGACAGATCAATTTGCTCATACTCCTAAATAGCACTACTCACAACTTCTACGTCATGGATGGCCAGCATCGAGTTCGTGTAATGGAGAAACTGTACAAGGAGACGGGAAAGGACATCAGGTTTCAATTCCGTGCCAAAGCTGTTTCAGATGATGCAGAGGCGCATCAAGAGTTGTTGCACTTCCAGAACAGCTACCCCTCGGATCCGAGATCTTTCTTTTCTGCCAAGCATGCGCGGGAGGTTTCGACATCGGTGCTGCTGCGGCTTCGGACCGAATTCCCAAGCAATGAGCTGTGGGTTCAGGTTCAGACGTCACGCGCCGGCAAGCGCTGTGGAGATCCGAACAGACCAAAGTTGAACGATTTTCTTGTGTTTTGGTTTCTCCAAGATAGCAGTCTCCTTCGTGACGACTGCACTGATGCCCAAGTCTTCCAACATGTTGTCAAGATGAACCGCTTGATGAAGCACCTGTCGCAAACCGACTCAAGCAAGTTGGGCAAGGCAGGAAAGAGTTCATCTGGGAGGCTTCAATAGTTGATGTCAATGGGCGGGGCGATTCGAGGCTCAGGTTCCATTGTTGTTTTCAGTCCTCATCTTCGCAGGGAGTGACGCAGAACATGATTCGCTCAGCTTCCAGATGGGGCTGCTTCCTTGGCTTCTTTCGCGAGGAAGCCCTTCACTGGCATGACTTGAACGGGCAGTTGGGAAACCTACCGGCCGACACTGCTTCCGAAGCTGCTCAAAGCCGAGAAGATCGAGACTCCTTGGCTTGTGTCATCTGCTTCTTGACTTGGTCTCGGGAGGGCAGCTTTCATAGTTGAAGCTCTGTGTCATTCGACCAAAGTGTACTTGTGGCTGGTGAAAGAACATATTTCGGTGCGAAATAGGAGAATCAGTGCTTCGGCTTACCACGGCACCAGATGAACAACAGTACTTGATGTGTTTAATGCTTGTTCTTCCTGGAGCAGACGTTCGATCTAATCTTCATCGAGACTGACGTGTCTTTATGTTGATGGTCTTTATTCCCTTAGGACATGGTGATGGTTCAGTTTGGAACAGAGCTTCCTGCACCAGCAAGATCAATCTGCCTCGAGGTATGGATGCAGCTCGGAACACTGTGCTGCAGCCGTGCCGGCACTTATGCTGCTGCTCTGAGTGTGCAGGATCTTTACAAAGTTGTCCTGTGTGCAGCGTGCCTGTACAAAGTCGCGAGAAAGTGTTCGTCTCGTGAAAAGGCAAGGAGTGCTGCAGCCGGCTTTGCGAAGCAACATGTGCCTCTTTGCTTTCGTGCTTGTCCGTCTTCGTGTTTGTGCACATGATTAGAAGTGGTTGATCAAGCATAAAAATGACAGAGCAGTGTATACGTGTCTCTGCATAGGTGCTTGCATTACATTTAATGTAATGGTTAGGCCCTGCACAAGCAGGGGAGGACAATGGTATTTTAGAATGCAGATGGCCAGACAGAGAGTTTAAGCATGCGGGGGCGCTAGACATGCTTTGCACACAGGAGCCAAGTCTTAAATCACAACACAATTTAAACACATATACCTATGCACGCATACATCCATACATCACATGTCTATTCAGTTTAGTATGTGGAGGCAATTCCTTGAAGCTCGAGGAAAGATGAATGATAAGCCTGGGCCTCAGATTCGGGTCTGCAGTGCGGGGTGCCGTGCAGATGATGCAGAGGCTTGTCGAAATCATCAATCGTGTTTATACAGCCGCGATCTTACTGCTGATATGACTGACTCTTTGAGCCGCCATCTTTGTGCAAAATGACTGGAAGGAGCCGCACGACACTTTGGACAGCCTGAAGAGGATATTTTTTTGCAGCCTTTGGTAGAGCCATTGCTTGGTCTGGCGAGGATGATGAAAGATCATTTGCACAACAATTCAAGCGCTTGGAATGACCAGGCGGCGTTTAAACCTGTGGTATGTTGCCTGTGCATGTACTTACTCGGCTGAGACGGCGGCATGCAAGCCGTAATGTTTTGTGGTAGCCTGAACACTGCAAAGCTTCATTCCGAACTTCATCGCTGCAGTTGCACAGCTTCTATCTAACCTACACGTTGATTTGACTGCGATGTTGTGGTCGGATGTTCAGTGCTTGAAGCTCACTTTCGACATAGTGCACGTCCTTCCCGCTTCTTTCCGGATGTGTACCCGCGGGCCTGTTTTCGACAGGTTGATTACTTGGTCGGACGCATGGCCGAAATCGGAGATAAAGCTCAGAACCAACGGCCAGACAGTGTGCCCGTGCCTCAGCACTGGAGTTTTCCGATGCGAGCCTGAACTCATCCGACCGTTCTCCCTGGTTGCATCTGCTTACGTCATGCTAGCACATTTATGGGTTCACAGCCTGCTTGGCACACTCCCTGAAGACATCTGAAAGAGTTCATCCCTTGAGACAGCCCAGCTGACAGAAGCAGAAGGATAAGTAATGTTGAAGACAGTGAGACTGACGGAGATCCACACAGACAGAAACGTTCAAACAGGGAAGGCCTTGTCTGACACATAGCAGCTGTCAGGGTCTGCAGAGAAAGAGCAAGTGGACCGATTCGTTCAATCCGTCATTGTGCGAATCACACGCACCTGAAATTGAACCTCTTCACGGAGGGAGACAGGGAAGCTTGTGCCCTGGTGCAGCGCACAAAGCATTTTTGCGATCCGCAAAACACTGCCGCAAATTGAGACAGCAGAGGAATGTGGAAGGAACAAAGAGGATGACACAGCTGCCACAGTTTGGAGGAGCAACGGTGCCAGGCCGGAAAGCTTTCTCGTCAATCGCAGCTGAGCAGGATCAACAGGATACTTGTAGCAACAGGCTCGGGCAATCTCGGGCATGTACCCCCTTACCTCCCCGCCATGCCATGTTCGGTTTTTCGCCTTGGCCTTGCCACGGAAGTCATGTCCCCCCAGTAACCCCGGTACACAGCCTTCTACCGCTACCACTCTACCTTCCTCCCCCCTCCCGGACGTCATCACCCCCGCCCTGCACTGCACTCTGGATGCGTTCGGCCCCCGCCCGCTTCTTTCCCACGCCCAGATTGTGCCTAATGGCCACAAAAATTATCCACCCGACAGAGACTTACAGGTTTAGGGTTTGCCTCGCGCCGTATTTCAGATCTTGGCGATGAAGAAGCTCAGCTCTATGGCGATGTGCGATGTCACTAACATGCAGGTACCCTACTCGGCTCGGCGTCCCGAATCGCTTCTTTCCACCAAGCAGCATGCTGGTGGACAGGGCAAGTGCTCACACGCTCTGCGCTCCTCCTCCCATTGTCGAACTGCTTGGACCGCAGATTTGACTCGCCAGCTTCCCGAAAAGTGGATAAGAGCCATCAATCCGAAGACACCTGACAGGGCGAAGGCGAATAAAAATAACGGAGAGGTAAGCATGCCGTTGATTTCCATTCTTCGTTGCAGATATTTGACGTGCGATTGCTGTTCTCAGCTGAATGCGGCAAGGAAAGTTCAAGCAAAGTTATAGTTTGAGCCATTGAAGCTACAGATGTTTTTCTCGGCAGAAAAGCTGTTGACATTGGTCGAAGATCACAAGATTTGCAAAGGAGTAGGATTTGCCACCGGGACACGTATTCAGCGAAGAACTCGCCTCGATCTTGTGAAACAGTTGTCCCATGATTCGGTCCTGCCCATATTATCCGATGATTCTGATCGAACTGTCCTCATGAATTGTCCATACCGCAATTCTCTATCTTCGTGTTCTGATGCCCTTGCAAATTGAAGGGCTTGGATTGCAGCTGTTGTGGCCGAAGTCAGGCGAGTTCGACGTGCACGGGGGGACCAGGCTCCTGCACAGGTCGACTTGGACAGCAGGTGCCATGTGGGGGAAGATTATAAGATCTTGTTTCCGAAAATGAGACTGTGATCTGTATGCTGGTTCACGATGCTGCACGATGTTACACTAACTGCTACACGATGCAGTTGTGCAGGTGCAAGTGGTACACAGGGACCCTCCATCTGATGGTCAGGAAGCACCCCACCTGAATGGATTTGCCACATGGCTGATGGCCTAGCCAGCTGAGCCTAGCCTGTCTAAGGATGTACGAAGATCAGAAGGAAGAGCCAGAAAAAGTGGAGGCCACAAGCCTGATCATGCAGTGCCGCACATTCGTGCCTTGGCGCTTGGATTGAACATGCATTCCGGTCAACAAAGAAGTCTTGTGCATTGTGCATCCCGTTGTTGTTTGCCGATCGGCGTTGACAGGCCATCGGCAAGGCTGTGGACAAAAGTCTGAAGGAGTTCAAAGATCTGGTCGAGGATCTAGAGAGAAGGCTGAAGAGCACAATAAATCTTGAGGCGCAGCGGGTTTGTAGGCACCCAGAATGTAGATGGATTCCGCGATGTAAGGTTTGCTATGTGTGTGAATGTTTCTGTGCGTGCTTTCAATGTAGCACAATTCTTAGTCAGGTCTCAACGTGAGTTTGTCAGGATGAGGTGAGGCAAGCGGTCGGTCACAACGACTGGCTTGCAGAAGACTTGAACGTGCTGGCGCGGTGCCCAAGATCGGCCGGCCAAGAGTCCGCTCAATGTAACCCTCTTTCATCCAGGTGCATAAGGAGGTTCGCCACACAACAGCCGGAGAAGAGAAGCAGGCAGTGCTGTACGGAAAGCCTTGAGCGGCAATACCACAGCCACGGCCAGGTTTGGGAGGATCTCAAAAGCGAGCTTAGCTTCATGCTAGAGGTACACGACGAACAAAGCGGGGCTCTCGGTGGAAGGTTCAGTTCGACCTGTACAGAAGACCTCGTCTCCTTGTCAGGTCGGGAACGTATGAAGAGGGCATGCAAACTTGATGATTTGCCTGCTGCTGAGTTCTTGGGCCGGCTCTTGCCAGCACATCCTGTCCTCTGAGGCTCAGGATTGTCAAGGAAGAAGTGGAGAAGCAAAGAGCCGACTTACTAGGGGAGTCTTCCCAGCATACACATACCAGATGCTGATTGCGAAAGCCTGTGCTTGCAGACAACCAGCTTGCGCAAAGGATGATTCGGATGGGTCCTCATCGTCATAGTCTTGGCCTGAGCTACTTCCTTTTGCTCGGGATGCAGTATGGCCAGATGCATCAACAATCTGTGGCAAAGTCTCTTGCTGCTTTGTTGGGTCGGCTTTAACTGTTTGCTTCGGCCAACCTCTGCCACTCGGCCAAGCGTGCCCCGTCACGGCATACCATACCGTGCTTGGCCCGCATCTGATCATGACATCGCTGCGAAGGCCAGTCGAAGGCTGATTATTCTGTCAATCGACTGTGGGGTGTGAATTGGCCAAGGTTTGCAGTGGGCTGAAGAGGACAGTTTCTCTAAGTTGAGTGGGAGTGCGCTGCAGTGCAGCTGTCGTCCGCTCGCGTGGATTCTCCACTTGCGATTGCGTGCAGAAGCCATCGTTCTTTTAGGCGCCTCGGGATCTGGAAAGCAGACAGTATTGATACGGACATATAGAGACTGGCAGTTTGTTTTTGCTTCGGCGCTGATACGCTGACATCTACTTGGACCATCTTGGACCTACACCTTGGTGTTTGGAACGCTCCAGTTCCTGCCCAGTTCAGCAAAGTTAATTCGTCTCACCCCAAAAGATGCCAACGTTCCGTGGCGGTGCGCTCCTCCGACATCACAGGGTGCTTCATCAAGCGCCCGCAGATGTACCGGTGGTGAAAGGGTTTTGCAGGGAAGCACTTCATTGTGCTCTGCTGGCAGAGACTTGTTCGAATCCGTTTCGGATATTCCAGCCGATATGCTACAAGATGTCGAAATTGCCTATTTCGAAGATGCAGTTGAGGCGATGGTGTTAATTTGACGACTGCTTCCATTTTCGGATTGCTGTAGAAGCATAGTCCTCCAATCCTCAACTGCTTGTCTTCTCATGCACAGACAGGTAGGCTTGGCAGTCTGAAGAACTGACCAACAAGGAGAAACAAATTTGAATGCTTGCCAGCCGCTTGTCTGCCAGTCACATTGGAGCTTGGTCAGCATGCATATTGTTCGGTAGCATCCATCATGCAATGATCTAGTTAATTGAGGCTGTGGTCAGTGGTTGTTGGAGCCGCGCCCTTTGCCTGAACATGTCCGAGTGGGCTTGTTTGCTCTGAGCCGCCAAGAAGATAGGCAGCAACTCTTAGAATTTCCTAAGAGCTCAGACTGGTGAGATAGGGATCAGGCCACGGGGTACCAACTTTTCAATGTTACACAAGCTCTTAGAGACAGAGTGGCAGGAGTACCAGTAACCAGTGCAACAAGCAGACTAGACGAGGCTAGAGTCCATGGCTCTGGGTTTCATGTCGGGCCTTTTGGGAGTGCAGAGGCACGCTCTGAACGGTGAGAGATCTCTCTCTCTCTCTCTCTCNNTCTCTGTCTCTCTCTTTCTCTGTCCATGTGCCTCCGTGGCTTCGCGGTCTCGAACTGGAGTTTGTAGGTACCGAAAACGTGAGCGGAGCAGTAGCTACAGCTCACCGTGTTTGCATTTAAAGAGGATATGAGTAGCTGCAGTGGCAGGTTGCTTTTGGTGTGCTGGACGACGGCAAGGGGGTGGTCCCTGTGGTCCTGAAGCACATGGCCAGAGATGCCAGGGGACGCAGCACGAGGCTTAAACACACACACACACAGACACACACACACACAGACACACACACACACACAGACACACACACACACAGAGACACACAGAGAGACACACACAGA